TTGCATATAAAGTTTGAGATTAGTGCGATATTTATGACAGATTCGTTACGTAATACAACGATGACACTTATAGAGATATTTTTTACAAAAAACAATTGAAAAGATTTTTATACCACGATGGTGGCAAACAAGCGTACGGCATATCTGATGGTAAATGATTACCATCAGATGGGCCGTACCATAGAGACGCCTAAAACACTAACGGTCTTATTACAAAAAATCTGTTAAAACTCGGACGAAACGTGGTCTAAAAATGGTCGTGGTTTAAACCATTCCTAAAGTTAAAACTTGGAATAAGCCTAACATTATTACGAATCCAGATCCAACAAAGGACTACTTAGTACTACAGTTAAATCGTTCATTATGTATTCCATACAGAAATCAGTCACTCATGTCTGTTAGCGTACGATTACGTTCCGTTTTACCAGAAAACTGAAAGATCAAAAATAATATTACTTCAAATAAAAATGTATAAACTAAAAATAAATTTATTTCTAGTTATCTATGTCTTTATTATAACTATTTCATTAATATATAATATTTGTTAATGTACTATTAGGCTGAAAATCAGTTTTAAATTACAAGTAAGAGTCCTATACGGAGAAAAGGAACGGCGGGATATTTTTATTGGATCGATTCGAATGGTGACTATTTCAAAGTCAAATGAGTGAAAAAATAACAAATAACGTCTTTTATATATTTTTATTATCATAAAATTAGCTTTAAATATTTTTAGTTAATATATTTTTAATTTAGTTAAAATATTTTTCGAAAAACAACAACTTACAATACAATTTTTAAAATGGAATTTGACTTTTTGCATTTAGACCACTGTTAAACTAGGGGCATCGCAGGTCTAACTTTAGACCATAGACGAATCACGATTTAGAGATAAACTTCATTTGGTAATAAGGAATACATTGGTGAATGGTTTATTACTAGTGCTAAATCAGGTTTATCTTTTTGTAATAAGGCCGTAAGGGTGTCACTTGCATGTTGCGACCTAGGACCTTAACATACCGTTCTATATAAAGAACTATGAAACGATACATCGGTTTCAGTAATAAGTATTATATTACTGCAACTTTTTTGACAACAAGATAAATAATTTTTTTGAAGTTATGGTTTGTAAACGATCAATGTTAAAACATAAAACCATCATTATACATCGTCAACCTATATAAAGAAAAAATACAAATTAGTAACAAGCTAGACTTTAAACACTATCAATTTTAATTACTAAAGTATAGATATATTTAAAATATCATTTGTGGCAATGCTTACCTGAAAAAACATCATAACTCGTAGCTTTCAAAATACGAGTACATATATAATACAAGAGTATAAGCATAATACAAACGGAATAAATGAGGTCTCCTTACTCGCTTCGGAGACCCTCTGGATATATTGTAATATCACTCGGACTCTGTTTACTTTGTAAACCGATCATATTGTCTTCAAAAGTCGAGGAACCTGATATTTTCTTAGAAACGTTAAAAGATACTGTTGATATTTTTAAAAGCATTAAGTTAAATTAGAATCGAATAACAACAAGAGAAGGAGCTTTTATTTATATTGTGTTTTCATCTGCAAAGATGTTATAACCCTTAATTAATTTGAATTAAGTGTTATTTGAAAGTCAAACTGAGTAATTGAGATTTACTTCGGTAATGATAATAATACCAAATAATAATCCTGAACAATTCATACAACGATATTTAGCGCCAAGCTATGTAGACCTTGTGTTATGGGTAGGTAGGTACTAGATAGAATAAATAAATTGTTTCGTAAACACATACATAATATGTGAAACACTCACATCAAAACAAACAATCATAATCATTAATACAAATGTTTGCATCGTGAGAGTAATCAAACCCGCTACCATCAGAAGGAAAGCGGTGTGCTAAACCGCTAGATCACTGGGACTGTCAATGAGAAATTTTAACTTATAGCAAATTAGAACTTATATAACTTAATATTGTAGAAAGAAACAGTTTCTTTTGTTTCAAATTGTGCCTACAGAGTCTTACATTATCAGCTTTATTTAATGCAATATAATATAAAATTAAAAAGCACAATTACTTTATACGATGTGTCTAGAATAGACAGACTAGTCTAGAATCTGTCGTCTTTTTCCAGCTCGGCTATAAGGCTTTACTCGCATCGTAGAGTCGTATACGAAACAAATTGTTATATTTTTAACTTGTTATTAATATTCATCTCTATTTCCATTGAGTAAAGTATAAATTTGAAAACGCAGGACTACGCCCAGTGCTTAGTCATCAATGGTTATTAACACTACGGCAATGTGAGTTGAGCTTACACAAATATGATGCAAACATTTAATAATACATGAGGCTGTGAGAGCCCGTAAGAACGCTGCCAAGACAAGATTGCAGAAGAAAGTTCTCTCTGTAGAAACCGAAGCTCCCGGTCCGATTTGGTTCGCTTATCTTCGATAAAACAAAACAGTCGGCGTGTGATTAATGACAGAAAACGTACTCGGCAAGTTGTAATCCATTTATATATCGTGTCAATGCAGGATCCGCTCTCATTGTACATATTATACAAACTTTATCTTATCCATACTATTATTAACTGCAAAGATGTCTGTACATCAATCTGTTTATAAGACATTATCTTAAAAAAAAATCAGTCTAAATCAATGATAACAACATTCATATATAAATATAGAAATTGTTTTTAATATTGAGAAAATGCTATTTCTCAATATTAAAAACAATAACGAAAATACCTATTTTTTACTATTGCAGTATTTAAAAAATGTAAGTTTATCCATAAAAAAATCTCATTTTAGAGGCCAGTCTCTTGATATCACATCCTTAAACAATACTGCATTAACTGAAAAATTTATATTTAGGAAAATCAACCCTAATGTTTTAATGTTACCGTCTAGTTCCAAAAATTTTGTATTTATTATTCAATGCAATAATGTATTAAAAGTATTTCAGATATTCTGTACAATACCTAGCTGGTGTATAGAATACTTGTATAGAGCTCAACAGTCATTCCATCCATTACACCAGTATTGTATAGTATATCTGAATAATACATATTACTGGTACGTGTATATATTTACAAATGTTATAAACATGGGTGGAAATATCTACTTACGTCTTCGACACACGTGTATAAAAGAAGGTGTCACAGTGATGGATGGGCCACGTGGGGAGATTACATTTACACTGGGGTTAGCGATGAGCAACGAATAGTACAATCGAGATCTATTCCGATTAATCTCTGATAGATCATACAGAAGTAAACTCTTGTTGCTATGCAATACGATGGAATAAAATAGACATTTCTTTATTTATTTTATAAAAGAATTATCTATATATCATATATACATGAGTATATTAATAACTAATAAATATTGTTACAGTAATTGAAAATGCAATGTTATTTCAATGAGAATAATGTTATCGTGGTTACAAAATATATTTTACCGTATTCAAAACAGAATCCATTTAGGTGTTATTTTGCGGATTAATGGATTTATATATATTTTTTTAATTCCGCTACCATTAGCATGTGTGAGACCACAAATATTCAGTGCGCAAAACCAGACCACCGTTACTAGGTAAGTACTAAGTAAAATCATTACATATACATATATGGATGCACACAGCAATTGTGTATGTATAAAACGTTTATACGTATTTATGTTGCAGATTATGCTTTCGTTTTATTTGGTTGCATTCGACATTATTGAGCATTATGAAAAATTTACAAAGGCAATGTGCTATTTTTACAGACGACGGGTACTATGGTGTTACCATATTTTTACCATTCATTGTCTATATTGCCCACAGCTTTGTTTACATAACTTAATAGCCATTCTGCATTTCAATATTTTATTTTTATTAACGAAAGACTATTTTATGAAAATCTAATTAGAGTTACGATTTTGTTTGTTTGTATAAGGTTTCCAAAACAAAGTTTATATATAATTAGGTGATTATTCTTTCAAAAGCAATTCCTAAATATTTTTAAGGTATCCTATTATTACTGAAGTTATACACAAATTAATTAAAACTTACTCTAGATCTGGATACTTAAATTATGATATAAATATAATAAATTTTAAGAATAATATAAGCAATATAACCTAACGTCAATTGTACTCGTATATCACGTTCTACATTCTTCAGTATTAATCATGCATTAATAACAATATGCCTTCACGACTATTATCCTAGATGGACTAATCGGAGCGATAGTGAAATGTTGACGTCGGTAGTAAACGAAACACTCGACATGCTCACATTTCGCTCAGTATATTATCCAGTTGTAACTATGTATATAGTGTGTAAACGTTTTAGATCAAACAAGCTTAACGATCACCTAAATGTGAAGGAACTAGGAAACACGCAAGGTCAAATTCTTTCATCGCAGTTCGGATAACGAGAGACAGCGTGCATTGATAAAAAATACGTGACAATAAATATTGGATAATTTAGAATTGTAAGTGTGTAAGTGTAAATTATCAACAACATTAATTGAGTTTCTGTAGAAACCAACATACTTTAGTTATTGCCACGAACATTTGGTTAATAAATAGCTATTTTAGTAGTATAATTAGTTTGTCAGTCACTATTTTTAGTAACTAATATTTTGGTGTACATTACTGAAGTTTCGTAGTCATTTTCCAAACTTGATTCAGTTTACCACTTATATAATAAATATCTTATTAAGTAGAATTATATAGTAATATAATAATGGTGCAGAACGCAGAAAGCGCCATGTAGCTTTAGAATTGAAGAGCTTGTTTGTTTTTTTTTTCTTATATTTCTGTAAACATTCATATTAATACAAACTCTCATACTCATGAATATAAACGTTTACATTGTACGGATTTGAACCCATGTCGATACATTTTTTCTAGATAAATTTTTAATCCAAATGCAACAGCCAAACCGATACAAGTAATTATACACATACTTACAAGTGATTGTATAAAAATAATTGCAACTTACGTTTGTATAGGCGGCTAGGCGGCGCGGGGTACCCGCGAGTCACTCCTACGCAACCCCTGCATCCAACTGTGAACAAAAATAATATTTTTTAGTGCAGTCAGGCGAATATTATTAGTGCAGGCTGGCGCACCATATCATATTCATTCAATAAAAAAATGTCTTATCAAAGTGTATTATGTAATTTACGGTTATATAACCATCTATATTATGAATAATATTATACATTTGAAAGGCAAAAATATAAAGGAAAACCGCAAAGCATGACGTTAATAATATGAATATAAATGAACCTACACGTATATATACATACATTTTAGGTATAATCTTTTTATTTATATAAATTCTAGATTCTACCAGCGACTTCATTCAAGTAAATTTGTATATGATGTCACTATAAATATACTCTAGAACAATCTTATAATATATAAATAATATATCAGTAAGTGAACAATTTTGAAAATAGAATAATAGGAACATGGCAGAATAAATTGGGTTTATTATCAAAGATTCCATCACTTATGAAAGCGTCAACCAAAGATGTACACATATTTTTAATGTCGATCTGATTAAAACACGTGCGTGAATTTTGTTTAATTTGTAAGAGTTCAAGTATATTTGTATGTAGTATCACAATATACTAGATAACAAATTATATGAATAGATATTTCAAGAATAGGTCAATTTTGGAAATAGTGTCATTAGAAAATTGAATCTGAATTCAACATGGTAGATTAATTTTGTTTGTCATCGATATTTCCAGCAATGAGAGCGTCAACCAAACATACAAAATGATACATATTCCTGGTGCCAGATTTATACATGTGTTCGTGTATTTTGATTAGTTTATAAGCGTATGTGTAGTTATAAAATATTAAAAATGTTTGGATTATAGCTGTTTGTTACTATAAATAATATATATATATATATGTATTATTTTAATCATATTTATACGTTTTAATTATTTATGACATAATTAATAAATCATTATTTGCACATTTTAACTCACACAAGCCTTCCTATGCCACGCTGTATTGGGTTGACTGGAAGAGATCTCTTTTAAAGTTCTCCTTTGTTAACATTATTTCTAATGAACATATTTAAAGATTTATTTAAGTGCAATAAAAATACATATTCCATATATAAACTGTCATACATACTTCCACTTCAATGACAAACAAAGCTACTAAATTGACAATTAAAAAGTTATGTTATAGACAATAACACTTAAACATTCTCAAAATCAATATTGCAGAAATCGCTTCATTAATTACATTGTCCCAGTGGACGGAATACGATGAATGGTTCAACGTCGGAAGAGCAATATCCTCGGTGTACCTAATTAGTTGCGGTTACAGGAAGACCTTCGTCTTTTGTACAGGACATGTTTTATCAGATATGACATGTTTGTTACATGTTCGGCAAATGAATGCTCTATATCTTTATAGAGTCCATTGGTAAATATGTATTTGGTATGGAACAAACTGTAACATTGAGGAAATCGACTCAACTGCCTAAGGTAAAGATTGTTTTTACGATGTATTGAATTACTTATTTACAAATGGACTAGTATCTTATTTCGATTATCGGGTTAAGATATATATACCATTCATAATTATAAAAAGAAAGTGATTAATCATATCTGTAGTGTATGTGGAAACACTAGCAGTTTATTATCTATCGTCTCGAGCCGAGCGTACACGAACCGCCGTGCGCAAGAGGGAAGGGATTCCCTGCGCAAGCGCCGCGGAGTAAAGACGTGGAGCTATGGCTAACGAGCCGATATTACGTCGATAACAACTTACATACAAGAAGACATAAATAACAAATAAGTGAACACTATATGTGGCGACGAGGCAAAATGGATATAAATAAAGATAAGTACAAAATCATTTAATAAGATATACATATACCTACGGGTACGGAGTAATTACAAATTTAGAAGGATTATGGTGGGGCCGCACGGGGAGCGAATTATATAGACCTATACAGAAAAACAATAGCTGGGTAACATCGGTTTACGATCGATTTGCGCCAAGTAAGTAGGTACCTAATTATAAATTGTACTTGCTATACCTATAGTGTCTCTAGCTGGTAGGAATAGTCGTATTAATAATCATTATAGTAATATGTTTACGTATATCCGTGATTTATTATTTTTAATGTATGATAATGGTGTACTGCCTGCGCTGGCGTGGCACTGATGGAGTATGGTAGAATGAGCGGGGGGGGATAGGACCGGTTGGCCCGTCGTGGTGGGTTCGTGTTAATTTGTCGCGATGGTTTCTGGGGGGAGCCGCGTGGAGGTCCCTCTGGCGTGATATATTGTTAGCAGTGGGATTATTTTAACAATCCCATTCCCCCTTCCGTATTTCCGTGTTGAAATAAAAAAATCGGTAATGATTGTTGTTGCCGCTGCATGTTCGTTTCATAAGGGGACGGTGACGGTGAGATGTTTAGTGGGACATCATATTACGTGATGCAATAGACCTGTGGGTATGAAGTATAATAGAGCACTGTGCGGGCGACACGTTTGTTTTGCTTTATCTTTTCTAGGTGTCGATGCACTTTAATTACTTTTGGCAATAGGGCCGCCTTATTGTATTTATACAGAGGTGGTGACTAGTGTTCAAATGTCACTATTTTCTTTTAGAGTATTGCTGCAAATGGAAGTGGTCTAAAGTTCCTCTTTCTAACTGTAATGATCACATGATAACCTAATATTACATTTTGTACAATATATTATATTACGATGTAAATAAAAAAAAAAATATTACGATGTTGTCGGGTGATACGATATTATTACAAATGATGGTGAGCTGACAATTGTACCTGCATTATAGTACTGATGTTGGGTATTATATACAAAACAACAATAGTAAAATCTAAGGTGGGGTGACACACACGGTTTGAGCAGTGCTTGGTGAACAATATTTATATTTGCCTTAATTGATTGCAAGTGTTGAAGTATCTGGGTAACAGTGTCCCATACATTTCGATGCGGATGAGTTGTTCGGAATACCTGCAGACTATTTTATTCTGGTATTCGAGCAGAGCCGCGAAGTAGTGTGGTTAAAATGTTTTTATTTGGATTGGATTTGGCTTTTGGATTATATAATTTATAAATAATAATTATTAGTGAGCATTCCAATGGATGCCGGTGGGAATTGCAATTGTTTTGCATAGGAAGGTTTTAAATGTAGATTAATTATTAGTTTGATATATTATGTTGGGGTCTACTATACATGTCGTATAGTGCAAGGTGCCTATCTACTTGTCTGGCATATTTTTACCAATTTGTGCTTTGTGTTAAAATGAAGCGCGCATCTACACTTGCGACCTAGAAGGCAATCTTTTGGTTTGGTGAATTTAGTGTCTAATGAATTTGTTGAAGAAAAACAAAAAACAACGTAGTCAAGAGGTTGAGATGCCGACTATTATATTGCGAGGAAGTGTGTCGCTAGTTATGGTCGGATGTAAGGTACAGGAGTGCTGTTTCTGTATGCGGTGTGTGGTTTCTATAGTCAGTAACACTGGAACGAGAAAAATGATACCTAATTATGTATATAGAATTATTCTATTATTTTTACAGCAATGACAGTGATTAACTTTTAATAATAAGCTATAGTATAGTACAGTGGTGGTGAGTATGTCTTTATGGAATCATATTTAAGATTCTCTCTAATTTAAAAATACCAGTAAATTAGAAATTGCACAATAATGGTTACATGAAATAGAACTACTATTAAGTTCTGAATTATTGTACCTACTCGCCTAATGCATTATGCGGATGAGTGAAGGGGTTATTAGAGTGGAAAAAAAAAAATGTTTTTTACATTCTTTGAAGTTTCGGGAACATGGAATAGAATATGAATATTCTTTATTTAAAGAAGCTTGAATAAATAATAGGAATAATAGCCATAATTGCATTAATGTACCGCATTTAGTAGCTGTGGAATGGAGTTAGAATTTGTTTTGTGATCACATGCAGACAGCGCTGACAGCTGTTTTATATGAATGTGACGGGAATGTTGGAGCGATGGGGAGTCATTTTTAATTGACAGTTAATCCAGTTGCGGCTGGAGTTGTGTAGTGTCGCGATACGCGAAATAAGTGTATTAATGTGGTTTTGAGTTTTGAGATAGCTAATAGGAAATGATACCTGCTTCCTCCCGCGTACACTTAGATCGTGGAATGAACTTCCTGCCGAGGTTTTCTCACGAGACTACAGCATGGGGTTTTTCAAGAAGGGTATATTAAGGTTTCTTAAGGGTCGGCAACGCGCACGTGACACCCCTGGTGCTTCAGGCGTCCATAGGCTACGGTAACCATTTACCATCAAATGGGCCGTAGGCTTGTTTGCCACCATACTAGTAAAAAAAAAAAAAAAGTAGTTGTAAAATATATACATGTATTTGTTTATCGTCATAGTACTGGTGTTGGTCGCTCTCTAAATACTTTGGCCGCATTGCAGGGTAGCTTAGACAAATTAGCGTGTTTTAACTTTTACATACGTACTACAGTGCAACCTCGATAAAACAAATCGAAAAAAAAAAAAAATTATATATATATAGTATATCAAGTAATTCGTTGAACTGAGATTTATTATGTTGAAGGTACGTTGGTCTAAACTTCGTTATAAAAAGGTAAAAAAAAAAAAAAACTGTCGTAAGCTATTTCAACTTGAATCTTTAATAATAGTGACGAGCAGCAGTGTTTACAAAACTATACATTACTTTCCATCGAACAACAATTATTGTTCTACGAACATAAGTACGTCGAAACATGTCCTGACATGAATCACATTTTATGAGATAAGAGATAAGTAGAGTTAGAGTCATACCATTGGTGGGAACATTATATAAAGGTTTTGGGTTAAGAAAATTCCTTAGAAAGAGGTGTTTTTCCAAATTAAAAAAAAATAATAATAATAATGTCGCAATGTAAAGGTATATTTTACATCGATTCTTATGGAAAATCCAAGGGATTACAAAGAATTAGTTAAATCAAGGAAGTCGTTATATACGAGGTATATTATTGTGAATGAGGTGCGTTATATTATGGCTGCA